TATTGAGTTTTCCGTGGCTTGGGTTCTTAAAGCAATGAAAATGTGTACACGGGTTGGATTTTTTTAAACATGCACAGAATTTTTTGCTTCCAATAAAGTATCTAATCAAAACACTAAAATTGACAGGCCTTCGCCTCTGCTCATTTTACGCTGCTGCTCATAGCTGTCAACCATCCCTTATTTGGCGGGAAACTCCCTTATCCCAGCGCCGTGTCCCGCTGCTGTCCCTTATTGATGATGTCCCTTAAATTTCCCAGGTTTCAAAGGAAGCAGCTCCTCTTCCTCCCTCCCTGTCGGCCAGGGAGGAGGGAGGCTCCAACTGTGTTGCTTGGCTGCCCAGCCCGCCCCCCTCCGGCCTCCTCTCACCAGCCTTGGCCCCCGGGAGTCCCTCCCTGCCGGGACTGGCAGGAACCTCGGGCCCTTCCACCGCCATCCTTCTTGCGGCCGCCGAACTGAGCGTCTCTGCCTGGGGCCTCCCCTTTGCCTGTCGCCACCGCTCCTGCTCCCGCTAGGCCGTACTGCGGCTGCGCCGCCGAAGGACCCGGATGAGATGGGCAGCCTGGCGCACCCTATGAATTGCTGAGGAGCCTTGAGAGGAGAGCGAGGGCAACCACAGAGAAAGCAGTTCAGAGAGAGGAGGAGGCGCGGGCAGGTGTTCCAAGGACTAACCGTAGAGGGGGAAAGCGGAGGAAGGACCACAAGTGCTTCACCCATAGATTTGTAGTGGTAGACTAGCATAGATGGTCTGATCTGTGGGTTTACTTCGGGCGCTATTCCCCCCTCTCTTCCTCCTGCCCGCCTGATGGAATTGAGAGCTGCTGATGGAGCACGAGAGAAAAGATACAGAACTGCAGCAGCATTTTCGTAGCTTGGACTTCGTTTTGCGCGAAAAGTGGTTGCTGCTTGTAGTTATTTAATTGCAGTGTTTCATCGGCTGGTGTCTTGAGCAGCAACCTCTGGAAACGAAGGGCTAAAAACCGGCGCTGCTCTCCAAAATTATCTGGTCCCTTTAACTTCGTATTTCAGCTGGCTAACTAAAATCCCTTATTTTGGCTGCTGATCCCTTATTTTCAATTTCTGCAGTGCCTTTCACTCTTTGGATTTGGTGCGTTGGCCAAGCAAATGAATCTCAGACCTTTATTGGGACTGGTTGCAAAGGCGTCAGTGACCTCCCTCAAATACGGGGGAAACACTATCCCAGGGGTCAGCAAACTCTTAAAGGCGGGGGCTGGTTCACCGCCCCTCGGACCTTTTGATGGGCTGGACTGCATGTGCACTCTCTCCCCCAGCCCCTCCCCTCCCAGTGTTGGTGCTGACCTTTAAAGCCCTAAACGGCCTCGGCCCAGTATACCTGAAGGAGCGTCTCCACCCCCATCATCCAGCCCGGACACAGGGGTCCAAATCCGAGGGCCTTCTGGCGGTTCCCTTGCTGCGAGAAGCCAAGTTACAGGGAACCAGGCAGAGGGCCTTCTCGGTGGTGGCACCCACCCTGTGGAACGCCCTCCCACCAGATGTCAAGGAAATAAACAACTATCTGACTTTTAGAAGACATCTGAAGGCAGCCCTGTTTAGGGAAGCTTTTAATGTTTAATAGACTATTACTAAACGACTAAACAACAACAATTTTAATATTCTGTTGAAAGCCGCCCAGAGTGGCTGGGGAAACTCAACTAGATGGGTGGGGTATAAATAATAAATTATTATTATTATCATTAAATTAATTTCCTACCTCCTCCGCCGCTCTGCCTTCGGTTGGGGGCCAGCGGTGGTGGTGGCGCCTCCCCTTTCCGGGCCAGCTTTCCCAAGCACCCATCATGAGGCCAGCAGGTGTGCCAAGCTCCAGCCGAAGCCCCACGATGCCATCACTATCATGCCAGTCACGATGCCCACAGCGTGGCCATGGACGGAGAGGCCGGCCGTCGGGTGGGTAGCGAGGCTTCGGATAGGCTGGCTGCTGGCACCAATGAAAGCCCAGCTCGCTTCCTCCGCAGGGCAGGGAGAAGCCAGGAGGAGGCGCCATCGCGATGTGTGTGGGATGGCGGGCCCCCCCCCCAAATTGCAAAAAAAATATTGCACAGCCCGATCACGCATCCAAGCGGCGATCCCAGGACTGTCAACAAGCCAGTCCAGGGGGCAATTGGGCCCGATCCGGCCCGCGGGCCTTAGTTTGCCAACCCCTGCCCTATCCAGTTCATAGGGAGACGGGGAGCGTTTGCCAGTGGGAGCCTGGGTTGTGTGTGTTCTGTTCCAGGAGAAAGGAGGATTTCCGGTAACCCCAAACAACCCAAGGCCTTCTCTTTGCTGTCCATCGCCACCTCTCTTCCCCAGGGAGCAGAATTGCCAAAGAGTCCGAATGCATTTGGGTGGAAATGGAACTTAAGGCCAGTAAGGTTTGTATTGGACATAGCTCCACAGCTAAGGAGAATTTGCCTTGTGTGCGATGGAATTTTCTCCCTGATTCAACCTTGGGAAGGCCTTTCCGGAAGCAAGAGCCGTTTGACAGCGGAATGGTCTCCCTCGGAAGGTGGTGGAGGTTTTCAAGCAGAGGTTTGGAGGGTCCTCCGTCAGGAATTCTTGAGCTGTGATTCCTGCATTGCAGGGGGTTAGACTAGATGGCCTCTGAGGTCCCTTCCAACAATTCTATGGTTCTACCTCTCTCTTATATGCCTGTTGTCTTTGTCCATGGAGTTTCCTTGGCAGGGATACTGGAGTGGCTTGCCAGTTCCTGCTCCAGGTGGATCACGTTTGGTCAAAACTCTCCACTATGAGCTGTCCGTCTTGGGTGGCCCTGCATGGCATAGCTCATAGCTTCTCTGAGTTATTCAAGCCCCTTCGCCACGGCAAGGCAGTGATCCATGAAGACAGGAGTGCCTGGCGTGCTCTGGGCAATGGGGTCACGAAGAGTCGGACACCACCAAACAACAACATCTCTCTCTTCCCATCCCTTGGTGCCCTCTAAATCTGGAACAGATTTTGGGATGGCACCAGGTGTGTGGTGCACGAGAACAGAAATTCCAGCTGCACTAGCAGGAATCCTTTTGCTGGCTTTCGATAATGCAGCTGGGTGGTTGAACGTGGCCCTGAATTGTGATTTGTACCATATATGGATACAGAACTTGCAGGGACCACGTCTGGGTTTTGGATATAGATGCTGTTGAGTCACTTTTGTGTAAAAAATGACTAAGAAGTATAACAATAACAGTAATCTAAAATATACTCAATGTGTTGCTACGTCAAGGACATTGCCAGATTGTATAACTGCTCTTATTGATCTGGGAGTCCAGTTTTCCAGGAGGGGGCCTGAGATGCTAGATGTCTCTATAGTGCCATCTGCTGGTTGCTTGCTTGCTTGCTAGAACAACGCAAGTTCAGAGTTATTTCTGTGTTAGAGCAGGCATTCCCTTCTTGCTGTTAGGGTGAAAGCTTCCCTTATCTTGTGCCCGGTTGAAGGCATTAAAGCCTGGCCAGAAGGGAAAAGCCAGTTGGCGCTCCCGATTCTCGGGTCAGCCACCCTTGAGATGCTGTGAACTACGATTCCCATCACTCCTAGCGAGCAGAGCTATTCTCTCCCATCAGCCCTAGCATCACAAACTGGCTAGGGCTTCTGGGAGTTGTAGTCCAAAACACCTGGTTGGCCAAGACCATGGACAGGCAAACTAGGGGCCAGATCCGGCCCAATCGCCTTCTAAACCTGGCCTGCGCATGGTCCGGGAATCAGCGTGTTTTTTACGCTGAGTAGGAATGTGTCTTTTATTTAAAATGCACCTCTGGGTTATTGTGGGGCCTGCTGGGGGTTTTTACATGAGTAGAATGTGTCCTTTTATTTAAAATGCACCTCTGGGTTATTTGTGGGGCCTGCCTGGGTTTTTACATGAGTAGAATGTGTCCTTTTTATTTAAAATGCACCTCTGGGTTATTTGTGGGCCTGCCTGGGGTTTACATGAGAAGAATGTTCCTTTTATTTTAAATGCATCTCTGGGTTATTTGTGGGGCCTGCCTGGGGTTTTTACATGAGTAGAATGTGTGCTTTTATTTAAAATGCACCTCTGGGTTATTTGTGGGGCATAGGAATTTGTTCATCCCCGCCAAAAAAAATATAGTCCAGCCCTCCACAAGGTCTGAGGGACATTGGACCGGCCCCCTGCTGAAAAAGTTTGCTGACCCCTGGGCAAGACCCATCAAAGGCTGGACTCCACAGACCATTTCAACTGTCTCAGGAAACCCCCCCCCCATCATTCAGTTTGTACAAACTCGACACACACACACACACACACACACACACACTCACACACACACACACGACATACACTATGCTTCTGTTCTAAATGCATAGAAAATCAACCATACATCGGATCTGCACCGTTCCACTTTTATTTTACTCCATGAAGGAAGGACTACAAAATGGGGAAGGCTTGATACAGGCCAGCCATAATCCCTTGAGCATACCAGCACATACACAGGAGCCCTGCCCAGTTGCTATGCCAACCCTGATGGTCCTAGACAGAAGACCATCAAGATCACAAAGAACTTGCATATGGGAGTGGATTCAACACGGACTGGAACAAAGGACAATGATCAGATCTTCCCTCTGGGGACAGGAAACTGCCAACTCCCCTTTGTCTTCTGGAAATGGCTCATGGGGAGGGGGAAAGGAGGAACCAGCCAGGTGACAAGATGCCCAGGTTACCTCCACAACTCCTCCCTCAATCCCTCCTTTTTGTGATGTGTCAATGATGTAGTCATGATGTAGCTGTGATGTAGTTCTAGGGTGTAGTTTGGGGATTAGTAACTAATAAAAGTTGGGGTCTTCTTTTGTTCTGGGCTTCCATCTTGTTCCACCTTGTGGCAGGTGGAAGTCCTGTTGCGACAGTCTTCAATAAAGACCAAGCCTACTGGTTGCTGTTTTGCTCTGGGATTCCTGGCTGGTGTCCTTGTTTTTTTGTCCAAGGGAGCCCTCGGATTTCTCCGTTAACACCCCACAAAGGAAACAAAGACTTTGGTGCAGTGAATAGCAACTTTTATTATTCGTAAATAGCTTTTATTTATTCCCCCCCACCAAAAAATATACATAACTATTAGTGCTTTGAACAACACTTGACAGAACCAAACTGCAAACGGACACAGGAGAAACCCACACACTGAAATGTGTGGTGCGCGAAGCGTACCTAAGCGAGGTCTTGCTTGTGCTGTGGATAGTGAGGGGCTCCAGACACCCCCATTTCCCAGCCGAGGACCGCAGGGCCCTGAAGGGCACCCCTCTCCCGGCAGTGGCTAGCAGCTTCACTGACCCCTTGGCTGCTGCACTCTCACCGACGAGATATTTTGGTGCTTAGGTACAGCGCACTTCCCTGCAAATCCAGAGGTGATGTGTGCATGGATTTATTCTGGGCTGTTTTCTTTTTAAAAGAGGCGCGATCTGTGAACATGACAGTGTACCCAAGTACAAAAATACCTGACGCTCGTTTGAAATGGCCTTTAACTAATGAGCCAGGCCTGACAGACCCAGGCCAAAGCCCCTCAGAAAAGGCAGAACTAAACACAAACAGCTTGTTCCACGATTCTTTGCACATTGCACAAACTGCACTGCATCCCACAAGGCAGAAATAATGCCCACCCCCGGGTGTTAAAGCATATTGGGGAGGGAGTCTTTCCCCACTCTGACTAATCTGCTGAAGAGTCACCCACAGAGAATCACGTAAACCATATTTATTACGCAGGGTACCGAAACGGGGCAGTATTCAGACTTTTTGCATTCGTGCAAGAATGTTTCCTCTCCCCTGCGCCAGTGCTCTGTGCGCCATCCCCAAAACTGTGCCAGAGATTTAGGGGGCATGTGCGGAAGGGGGGGGGAGAGGGGAATGTTCCATCATGCGGGAAGAAGTTGTTCCCGTGGAATACAACCCAGAGAGACTTAAAGTAAAACATTTAGCCTTGGCTACAGGGTACCTCCGATTTGCATCTGAGCAGCTGGAAGTCTAAATGCCTTGCTTTGCAGTGTTCTCACATTCTGCTTTGTCAGTTGGTGCAATGTGTGCTTATGGAATCCTGGAACTAGATGCAGCCTGCAGTTCTGCCTCCAGAATGTGAGAACGGCCCCAAGAGAACTTTTGAGCTACTACAATGAATGGGAGCAGAAGCAGAACGGGAGTGTGCGCCCTGGTGAATGCTCACCTCCCAGGGATGCACAGCCGGACCACAAGCGATGCTCCCAAACCCCACTTCCATCTTTGATAAGCAGCCTCCCACTTGAGATCCCTGCATTGCACTAGATGACTCTACAATTCTGGGATTCTAGGAGTAGTGTCAACCGGTAGGGCACAGGGCAGGGAGCTGAACAGTAGGTGGCGCCAGAGCAAACTCATCCTCACATCTTCCCCATCTTCCTTGCTGAGTTCAAAGCTGAGACTATGGAGGGGGAAGGAAGTTGGCTGGCAGTGCAACCCCCTGGAATAGTTGTAATAAAGGAAGCAAGCAGCGGAGGCTGGCAGAGTGTAGTTTGAGGTTGGCGGGCAACGTTCCCTGTGCCCAAAGGAACCAGCTGCCACTGTGGTCTCCATAATGTTGCTGCGTCTGAGTGTGCAGAGTCCCCACAGTCAGCCCCCTCACCCCTTTGGACTGTTTTAATGACAGTAATGTTATCGATCCATAGGGAGGGGAGATTTATTTTTCTTTAATTTTGTATGCTGCTTGGGGAATTTCTGGGGCGGGGTGGTGGAATGGTCAATAAATAACTTTGGAAAGGAAATAAACAGTCAAAAAAGAAGGAGAGAGGCTGTATATTTGCGTTGTTAGCTGTGAAGTGCAATCGGTTGTGGTTTGGTCACATAATTGTGCTTTCAAGTTGCAGAGAGGGAAAGTTCTGAAACGGCCAAGAAAAAAAGATTGCTGCGATTTTAGTATTGTGGCACTTGGGAGAGCTTGCATCTACTGCTTCCACCCATTCTTATTTTAAGCATTTGCTTAAGGGCCGGGCCTTGTGGCTAGCAACCTCACAAAATCTACCTTTCACTTGCTAAAACACAAGCAATGCATTTTTGCCAATCAGCCTTGCCAAGCTACTGCTCTAGGGCAGGGTGTTATTAGGGGCAACCTGGGGGTGTCTCTGACACGGTTCCTTCTCAGCACTCCTCTATAGCACCTCTGCACATGCAGATTGCAGCTTTTAAACTATTGCTTCCGAGTTTTCCATGCTCAGGCTGGGCAACCATCTGGCGGGGTGACCGTGAAAAATTTCACGCCAAATGGGCAAAGGGTGCGAGGAGAGTCCTGCTGCGATTCCCGCACCGCAGGGACCACATGACCCTTCCAACTCTCTTATGATTCTAGGGATCAGGCCAAAGGCTTGTCTAGCCAGCACCTCGGTCTCACAGCGGCCAAGAAGATGCCCCGATGAGAAAGCAGCCCACAAGCAACTGGCATTCGGAGCAGAGCTTAAGCATGGCCTTATCCTCCATGCGTTTGCCTGGTCCTCTTTCAAAGCCAAGCTGGTGGCCAGCCATCGCTGGCTCCTGTGGCAAGGAGTTCCACAGTCTTAACTGTGTGCATAGTGGTTTACACTTCTATAAACCAAAAAGCACAAACCCACCACTGTAACCTGCAAAAACAACAGACATATCGGGGACGCCAGCCCCCTTTGAACTCAGTGGGACACTTCCACGGACTAGACTTCTTTGCATGAAAAGCTTGTGCCATAATAAATTGGGCAGTTTTCAAAAGCGTCCTATGACTCTTTATTGGGAAGCTAGGAAGTCTGCCTCCTACAGAGCCAGACCATTGGTTCATTGAGCTCAGTGCTGCCTACACGGGCAGGCAGCAGCCCTGCTGGATTTATGGCAGAAACCTGAAGATGCCATTGGGAACTGAACCGGGGACCTTCTGCATACACTGAGCTACAGCTGCTCTGTTGCCAGGCGTCTTAAAAATGGCTGCCATCCCAGAAATCAGCCAGAGTCCCAAGGCCAGATCCCGGTGAGAGTAGCCCCAACACCTCCAAGTGTCTGGGAGAGATGGAAACCCACCTTTACAACAACCAGCAATCTGAAACGAGCCCCCCAGGAGCTCGTTTCACCAGAATAAATAAGGACAAGCTGAAAGCTGACATCTGTAACCTGGAGGTTTGCGGCTTCCTTCCCCGCAGGGCTCTGTGCTTTGGAGAAGCAGTAATTCGGCAGGTGCAGCCGCTCCCCATTGTTGCGGGAAGGCTTGACCTGCTGGATTCCGGCCTGCCGTGGAAGCGTCAAAATGCAGAGGGGGCCCTTGCCAGAAAGAACAGTGGGGAAAGTTTGTATCCGCTGGGCACTGGAGGGTGTCTCCCCTTTTTCACAAGTGCCCTGGTGCAGCTGGGAAATCACCTGCAATTTCCAGGGTGCCAGCAAAAACAACACAAAACCGAGGTGTTGTTTGGGGAGGCAGGACAACGTTAGCAAGCAGCTACACCCCCAAAATACACGAAGACTGATTTGAGTAAGCCGAGCTGGAAGATGCCTAGCAAAGCGAAATGCGGAGGGGAGGGTGCAGCAGCGGAAAAAGCGGCTCTTGTGATTGACGGCAGAAGCAAATATCACCCGGAGTCGACATCAGGTGTGGGCAGATAACCAGGCTGGTGGAATCCATTTCTGATTATATTTGCTAGCTATGGTTTGTTAGAGCAGAGACAAACTGGTGGCTCGGGTGGGCGGGGCCAAGTGCAAAATGGTGGCTCGGGAGGGCGGGGCTAGATGAAGAATGGCGGCTGGGACTGGGCGGGGCCTACTGCCTACCCTACCCCACTGGGCTTACCTGCACATCAGGGATGCTAATGGCCTCCTTGCGACGAAAGAAGCCTTTCTGCTGCTAACTCTTTGTTAAGACGATTTAGTGATAAGGGACGGCCGCCGGCCTCCCGCAAACGGCCCAGAGATTTTCGGGGGGATCCCGATTTTGCTTCTGCCCCCCTGGCCCCCCCTACAAAGCAGGTCCCCCTTTGGCCCTCCCTCTCCGGTGGGGAATCGCAGCGGCGTCTTAGCTGAGCGTCTGGGCTGGGTCTGCGGAAGAGGGGGCTCAGAACCAACAGGGCATCCACATGAACGAGCCCAGTGCGGCCCCCGAGGCGGCCCCCGCCAGCAGGCCCAAGGCCATCTGGTCTCCGGAGACGCGGTACGGATCCTCGCGGAAAATGACGTGGGTCGCTGCGGAGAGAGGGAAAGGAACAGATGCAGTAAGTGATGTACACAAGAAACACGGCCAGTGACAGATTTACATATAAGCTAAACCATGGGTAGGCAAACTATTTTTTTTAAAAAAATAATATTTATTACTTTTTCCAACAATTTAAACACTACAAAAAGAAAAAACAACAACAATACAGTACCAAAACACTACATAACACTTAACACATTAAACTAACAAAACAAAATAAAAAACACATCAAACAACATCGAACAACATCAAATCAACATCAAACAATTTCAATATCTTATCTTTCCTTCACTTATTTCAATGACCTCCTCACACCTCCCTTTTTGTATTCCACTTCTATTAATTGTTTCAGCAATTCCTTTCCATCTTCCACTGTTTTCTATAATTATCTTAACACATTCTGACCTTATTTTTTCCTTTAATGCTCTATTAATTTTATACCTAATTCCTTATAACATTTCTACTAAAGCCATATAACTTCATTCCAACATTTTTCTAACATTCATTAATTTTACAATATTTCTGTAGATAGTCTTTAAACTTTTTCCAGTCTTCTTCCAACGACTCTTCTCCCTGGTCTTGGATTCTGCCAGTCATTTCCACCAGTTCCATATAGTCCATCAACTTCATCTGCCATTCTTCCCGGGTGGGTAAATCTTGTGTCTTCCACATGGGTAGGCAAACTAAGGCCCGGGGGCTGGATCTGGCCCAATTGCCTTCTAAATCCAGCCCATGGACTGTCCGGGAATATAACACCGGTCTTGAAAGACCTACACTGGCTCCCAGTACGTTTCCGAGCACAATTCAAAGTGTTGGTGCTGACCTTGAAAGCCCTAAATGGCCTCAGTCCTGTATACCTGAAGGAACGTCTCCACCCCCATCGTTCTGCCCGGACACCGAGGTCCAGAGCCAAGGGCCTTCTGGTGGTTCCCTCACTGCAAGAAGCTAAGTTACAGGAAACCAGGCAGAGGGCCTTCTCGGTGGTGGCGCCCGCCCTGTGGAACGCCCTCCCACCAGAAGACATCTGAAGGCAGCCCTCTTTAGGGAAGCTTTTAATGTTTAATAGGTAATTGTATTTTAGTGTTTTGTTGGAAGCTGCCCAGAGTGGCTGGGTATAAATCATAAATTATTATTATTATAAATCATTAGTGTGTTTTTACATGAGTAGAATGTGTCCTTTTATTAAAAATGCATCTCTGGGTTATTTGTGGGGCATAGGAATTTGTTCATTCCCCCCCCCTCCGAAAATATAGTCCAGCCCCCCACAAGGTCTCAGGGACAATAGACCGGCCCCCTGCTGAAAAAGTTTGCTGACCCTTGAGCTAAATAAGCTGTAGCTTAGGGCCTCACTCTCTTGGGGGCCCTCCATAAATGTAAACGAAAAAACCCCCACTGAGTGTACATTTCCAAAATATAAGATAAAAAACAAATAAAATAAAACCTACATGCAGCAATCAGAAGGCTTTTCAATGTTTTGTGAAATTTTGGTTGGTAGTGCCTGACTTTTGAACAATGCAGTCTCTTCTGCTTTTTGTGCAATACGGAGAAATTTGCACCTGGCGCCACCAGAGGTCACCCTACACTTCAGGATGTTCCTAAGCCAGCAATGGCTACATCAGGGCTGCCCAAACTTTTTTCAAAGCAGGCCGGATTTGAACATGAAAATGTGAACATGTCTGAGGGCCAACCAAAGTTCTTCAGCTTTTTTAAGGATTGAACAACTTGCTGAGCTTTTTTTTTAGGATTTTAGCTCAGGACATATACTGCCACGGGGGCCGGATTAAATCATCATCTATCTCTAATTGTTATCATCTATCTCTAATTGTTTCTTATTGAGTATGATAGATAGATAGAGAGATATAGATGATACATAGATGATAGATAGATAGTGCAGTTTTAATTCTATATCTATCTATCATCTATCTATCTACAGTGGTGCCTCGCAAGACGAAATTAATTCGTTCCGCAAGTCTCTTCGTCTTGCGAGTTTTTCGTCTTGCGATGCACGGTTTCCCATAGGAATGCATTGAAAATCAATTAATGCGTTCCTATGGAAACCGCCTTCAGACCAGGTCCGGGGACAGTCTGTCCCCCGACCTCTTCTGAAGGCTGGGGGGGGGGACAAGGGCTTTTCTTCCCACCCCCAGCATTTTAAAAAACCCCGGGACAGCGGAGGACTTCCCCGCTGCCCGGGGCGATCTTAAAAGCTGGCGGGCGGCATTTTAAAATCGCCCCGGGACAGCGGAGGACTTCTCCGCTGTCCGGGGCGATTTAAAAGCCCCTGGGAAGGCAGGCAGGGGGGACAAAGACTTTTGCCCCCCGCCAGCCTTCAGAAGAGGTCCAGGACCTCTTCTGAAAGCGGGAGGGGGCGAAAGTCTTTGCTCCCCCCCGCCTGCCTTCAAAAGCCGTCCGGGACAGCGGAGAACGCACTGCGTTTCTCCGCTCTCCCGGGAAGGCAGGCAGGGGGGAACAAAGACTTTTGCCCCCCGCCGGCCTTCAGAAGGTGTTCCCGCCCCGCCGCCCGGCTTCGGAGCACCGTTCCGAAGCCGGGCGGCGGGAGGAGGTGTTCCCTCCCCGCCGCCCGGCTTTGGAGGAGCCTTCTGAAGCCCGGCGGCGGGAGGAGGTGTTCCTGCCCCACCGCCCGGCTTCGGAGGAGGTCCGAGGACAGTGGGGAAGACGCGCTGCGCTTCCCCGCTGCCCCGGAGATTTCCCTATGGGCTGTCGTCTTGCGAAGCAAGCCCATAGGGAAATTCGTTTTGCGAAGCGCCTCCAAAACGGAAAACCCTTTCGTCTAGCGGGTTTTCCGTCTTGCGAGGCGTTCGTCTTGCGGGGCACCACTCTATCTATCTATCTATCTATCTATCTATCTATCTATCTATCATCTATCTATCATCTATCATAATCAATAAGAAACAATTAGATGATATAATTAAAACTACACTATCTATCTATCTATCTATCTATCTATCTATCTACTACCTACTACGGCCATACTACCCTGAACACGCCCGATCTTGTCTGATCTCGGAAGCTAAGCAGGGTCAGACCTGGTTAGTACTTGGATGGGAGACCGCCTGGGAATACCGGGTGCCGTAGGCTTCTTTTGTTTCCTGCTTGGCAGGGGGTTGGACTCGATGGCCCTTGTGGTCTATTCCAACTCTATGATTCTATGATCTATCTATCTATCTATCTATCTATATCTATCTATCTATCTATCTATCTCTAATGCAAATAATCACAATAACAGCATGGCACGAGCCCTTTCATAAAAGCAGTCAGTTCCTTAAACCCTGTTTCAACAAGAAATCTGCTGGCCGACAGACAGCAAGCAGGGATAAAGTCTGGCTTCTCCTCAAAGCCCAGAACCCCCGGAGTCTTGCACCACTGGGAGACTGGGCTGGTGTGCAACAACAGCCTCGAAGCGTCGCACCTGCGACACCCATCGCCACATCCCGTCTGACCAGCTCCAATGTTTGGCCCTCTGCTGCAGCGCCCAAAACGTCACAAAGAAGCCCATCGCCACCCAGCCTTGCGGGGAGGCCCTGAAAAGAGCCCCCGGCTGAGCAAACCTGAACTGGCCCAGGGGGGAGGTGAAAAGGGACGTTGATGGATGTACACATACCTCCATACTGGTTGCCGTAGTAATCGGAGCTGACGTACATCGCCTGGTGGGAGTCGAGGGGAACCGTCTGGTAATAGTCATCGTACGGGTCGTACAGGTGCACCTGGAGAAAGCGAGAAATGAGAACGTTGGCAGCCAGAGCTGAAAAACCTGAGCCGGAAACCGGGGGGAGGGGGGCAGGAGGCAGCTCCCCATAGCAACCACCCTCTGCACCCAGATTGGCTTTGGAGGCTCCCCCGCATTTTGAGGTCCCCTGGGTGGCAGCCGGAAACTGGGCCTTCATGGTGGTGGCCCCTCATCTGTGTAATTCCCTGCTCAGGGAGGCCTGCCTGGTCCCTCTCTTGCGTATGCCAGCAGAAAGCCATTTTCATTCTGATTTTTTAACTGGCTGGGTCTGCTGTTCGTTTACCTTTGCTAAGTTGTTGATGGAGCAGCTATGGAGGGGAAAGCACATGGATTTGAAGGGAAGACTTCCTGCAAGATGTGAACACAGCTGGACAGCTGGGAAGGAGAGATTCTCACCCAGACCCCAAAGGAGAGAGGGGCAGCAGTCTGTTGACGGAGGGGAGCAATGCAGAAGACTTTCCCATCCAGACCCTGAACAGCTCGCCAAGTCTTTGGATCCCAAAGGCCGGAGACTTTCGAGTTCAGTCCGGAGCACTTGAGGCCCTCCTGCGGCGCCAAAGCCATTGATCGCCAGCCTGGTTGCGCTTATTGATCTGTGTGGCTGGCCAGGCCGGGAAATTGGGGAAAGGCTCAGCTAAAAATAGAGCTGCCACAGCAGGAGAGGAATTGAGCCGCGCAGCTCCAGAGCAAAGCCACTTGAAGCAGGAAGACGTGGCAACCAGGTGACTGGCAAATCAGTTTAATGTGCGAATTACTCTCTCCTGCCACTTGCCCCTTCGGGCGGCATGGGAACAGCGCCGGATTCACGCATAAGCTAAACAAGCTATAGCTTAGGGCCCCACTATCTTGGGGCCCCAAAAAAATTTAAAGGAAAAACAACAACTGGATGTACATTTCCAAAATACAAAAGATAAAAAACAAATAAAATAAAACCTACGTGCAGCAGCAGTGTTTTGTGTTGTGTAGGCTCCTGTGATGTAAGTCATGGGCCCCGCCTGCTAGCCTGCTCCCTAAAATATCACTGGTTTGCTCATTTCTATATATAGGGTGCCTACATTCTGCTATTTATCATTATTAGTCGTTTGCAGGATGTATTTACACCTATTATTATTTCACGTTATAGCAAGTTTCTAGAGGCTAGATTATGAGTCTTTGTAAATTGTTTTCCTAAAGGAACTTTTGTTATTGCCAAATGCCAATGTGTTTGCATTATTAAGTTTGTTAGGAATAAAAAAGTTTGTTATGAATAAAAAAATTTTTTAGGTTAGAGCTTAATAATAATTTAACTAGTAATATAATTCTTCTTAATTGTATTTCACGATTGATATACTCGTGGACGCAGGTGGCACTGTGGTCTAAACCACAGAGCCTAGGGCTTGCCGATCGGAAGATCGACGTTTCGAATCCCCGCAATGGGGTGAGCTCCCGTCGCTCGGTCCCAGCTCCTGCCCACCTAGCAGTTCAAAAGCACGCCAGTGCGAGTAGATAAATAGGTACCGCTCCAGCGGGAAGGTAAATGGCGTTTCCGTGCGCTGCTCTGGTTCGCCAGAAGTGGCTTAGTCATGCTGGCCACATGACCCAGAAAAACTCTCTGCGGACAAATGTCGGCTCCTTCGGCCAGTAAAGCGAGATGAGCGCCGCAACCCCAGAGTCGTCTGCGACTGGACTTAACTGTCAGGGGTCCTTTACCTTTTTTTATTGATATACAGTGGTGCCTCGGGTTAAGTACTTAATTCATTCCGGAGGTCCGTACTTAACCTGAAACTGTTCTTAACCTGAAGCACCACTTTAGCTAATGGGGCCTCCTGCTGCTGCTGCGCCGCCAGAGCACGATTTCTGTTCTCATCCTGAAGCAAAGTTCTTAACCCAAGGTACTATTTCTGGGTTAGCAGAGTCTGTAACCTGAAGCGTATGTAACCCAAGGTACCACTGTACTTCTTCTTAATTGTATTTCAGTTCCACAACTACTTTGATAAAATACATATTTTGTTATGTGCAAATGGCTTTAGATACCTATTAGGTCCATAAATTGCCATAGAGCATATATTCAACACAATGGCCCATCTGGTCCAGCATTCTGTTCTTTTTCATTCTCCCTTATTTTCAGGGGAGCAATGAGGACTAGAAACCTGAAGAATCTGCAGAGCTCTTGCCCATAAGGAGCACTTCAAGGGGCAGGAAACCGGACAAGGAATGCAAGGCAGCCTCACCTGAGTCGCTTTGGCCTCCAGAATCGCTATCTTCCAAGCTCTGTCAAGAAAAGGAGAGAAGTAGCAAATAAAGCAAAGTGTTGCCAGCAGAGACAGACAATTTAAAAAGTCTTTCCCCCTTTTCCCCAAGTTCCCCTCCCACCCAACTGCTGTGGAAAGAAAATATGGGAAACATGAATAACACTTAAAGGTAAAGGTAAAGGTACCCCTGCCCGTACGGGCCAGTCTTGCCAGACTCTGGGGTTGTGTGCCCATCTCACTCTAGAGGCCGTGGGCCAGCGCTGTCCGGAGACACTTCCGGGTCACGTGGCCAGCGTGACATCGCTGCTCTGGCAAGCCAGAGCCGCACACGGAAACGCCGTTTACCTTCCCGCTAGTAAGCAGTCCCTATTTATCTACTTGCACCCGGGGGTGCTTTCGAACTGCTAGGTTGGCAGGCGCTGGGACCGAGCAACGGGAGCGCACCCCGCCGCAGGGATTCGAACCGCCGACCTTTCAATCGGCAAGCCCTAGGTGCTGAGGCTTTTACCCACAGCGCCACCCGCGTCCCTGGCGGGTGACACTTGCAGCTCTATTATTGGATTTTGATTGTGTTTAAATTAGGAGTCCCTTTTGTAGTTATTTACCGAATTATTCGCCCTATAGGACGCAATTTCCCCCCTTCAAAAACGAAGGGGAAATGTGTGTGCGTCCTATGGGGCGAATGCAGGCTTTCGATGAAGCCTGGAGAGCGAGAGGCATCGGTGCGCACCGACCCCTCTCGCTCTCCAGGCTTCAGGAAGCTCTGCGCAAGCCTGCGGAGCCCGGCGTGAAGTTGCACAGCTCTCCCACGGCTTGCAGAGAGCTGCCTGCAGGCTTCGGGCTTCGCACAGCTCTCAGCAAGCCGTGGGAGAGCTGCGCAACTTCAGGCAGATATCCGCAAGCCTGGGGAGACCGGCACGACTTGTTCTGGGGGCTGGGGAAGCTCGGGCTTCCCCCGCCCCGTGCCTGGGGGGGAAATAATTTTTTTTCTTTATCCCCCCCCCAAAAAAAATAGGTGTGCCCTTTGGGCCGGTGCGCCCTATGGGGCGAAAAATATGGTATTTCATTTTTTAATAAATTTTATTTTCACATTTTGCAGAACACATCAGACATTCTTTTTACACATTTAATTTTGTTATCAACTTCCCTCCTTCGGCAGTTACATAAGCTGTCTCTTCTTTTTCCTGCACCTCCAACATCAAAACCTAACTATAATTCATCTCTTGTAGTCACCATTTCAACATGGCCCTTTGCACGTGTTTACAGCGGTCCTGCTAACGTTTTAAGATGTTTGCAATAGTTCTTTAAACAATCAATAACCAAACCCCCACTCTTGCTTTTTTAAAAAAAATCTTCTTGATTTCTTAATCTTCCGGTAAGTTTTGCCATTTCTGTGAAACTTTTGCTGCCGGTCCTTTTTATTTGGTGCAGATTCTTCTTTCCACTTTTTGGGCAATCACCATTTGAGCTGCTGTGGTGTAGCTATTTATTTTGTGTGTGTCTTTGTGTGTGTACACATATAGTACAGACACACAAACGCGTGATCTTCGTCCCTATTGAAGGAGGCCATCTGGGCAGAGAGAGAGAGAGCCTGGCTACAGTTACCTGTGCTCAGGTAACTTCAAAACCAGTTGTTGCACTCCAGCAACCATCAGCCTCAGCTAGCAAGACTTAGGTGAGGGATGATGGGAGTTGTAGTTCAGCAACGCTCAGTAGTCCACAGGCCCCCTCCCTTTGATAATACTGTGCAGCCCAGGGATGGGATACAAATGGGATGCCCTGAAGATGTTGTGGGATCACAACTCCCATCATCCCTCACCACTGGACCTGCTGGCTGGGCCACTTGGGATTCGGAGTCCACCAACAAAATCTGGAGGGTGGTTACTGCTGGCAACAGCCCAGCCTGTGTTGTACTCTGGGAAAGAAAAATGCAAATTCTGCAGCCATAACAACAACAAAACAACAACAACAACGATTATTATTTATTATTTATACCCCACCCATCTGGCTGGGCTTCCCCAGCCACTCTGGGCAGCTCCCAACAGAATATTAAAAACACAATAAAACATCAAACATTAAAAACTTCCCTAAACAGGGCTGCCTTCAGATGTCTTCTAAAAGTCAGATAGTTGTTTATTTCCTTGACATCTGATGGGAGGGCATTCCACAGGGCGGGCGCCACCACCGAGAAGGCCCTCTGCCTGGTTCCCTGTAGCTTTGCTTCTCACAGTCAGGGAACCGCCAGAAGGCCCTCGGAGCTGGACCTCAGTGTCCAGGCTGGACGATAGGGGTGGAGACGCTCCTTCGGGTCTACAGGACCAAGGCCGTTTAGGGCTTTAAAGGTCAGCACCAACACTTTGAATTGTGCTCGGAAACATACTGGGAGCCAATGTAGGTCTTTCAAGACCGGTGTTATGTGGTCCTGGCGGCCACTCCAAGTCATCAGTCTAGCTGCCGCAATCTGGATTAGTTGTAGTTTCCGGGTCACCTTCAAAGGTAGCCCCATGTAGAGCGCATTGCAGTAGTCCATGCTGTGTGACTATATGCATGCTTGTGGCATGCAGTTATACAGTACAGCGGTACCTCTGGTTAAGAACTTAATTTGTTCCGGAGGTCCGTTCTTAACCTGAAACTGTTCTTAACCTGAAGCATCACTTTAGCTAATGGGGCCTCCCGCTGCCGCCACACGATTTCTGTTCTCATCCTGAAGCAAAGTTCTTAACCTGAGGTACTATTTCTGGGTTAGCAGAGTCTGTAACCTGAAGCGTATGTAACCTGAAGCGTATGTAACCCGAGGTACCACTGTACCCTCTAGCCACGACTCTCAGACCTGTTCATCTGCCTCCTCTCGCTTCTGCATTTCCTCCTTCTGTAAAGGACTAGCTTTCACAAGAAAACAAACGCAAACAGATGTTTCCAGGATGCTGGAACCCGATCTCAGCCTCCAAATTCTGAGCTTGCCTGGTGCAATTATTATGAATGCACACGCAGCCGCAAGCCACAGCGTCTCATGCTTGTATGCCTGTGAAACATGGACCACTTATAAACACCATCTCCAAACCTCAAAAGATTCCATCAACGGTGTCTCCGAAATTTTACACATCACTTGGGAAGACAGGCAAACTAATTCCAATGTACTGGAAGAAGCAAAGATCACCAGTGTTGAAGCAATGATTCTTCAACATCAACTTCGTTGGACTGGTCATGTTGTGAGGATGCCTGATGATCGTCTTCCAAAGCAACTACTCTATTCCAAACTTAAAAATGGAAAGCGTAATGCTGGTGGTCAACAAAAGAGGTTCAAAGACTCTCAAGGCAAATCTTTAAAAATGTAGTATAAACACCGACAACTGGGAAACACTGGCCTGTGAGCGCTCCAGTTGGAGAACAGCCTTTAGCAAAGGTGTCATGGGCTTTGAAGACACTCAAACTCAGGACACAAGGGAGAAACGTGCTAAGAGGAAGGCACGCTTGGCAAATCCACACCGTGATCAACTCCTGCCCGGGAACCAATGTCCCCACTGTGGAAGGACGTGTGGACCCAGAACTGGCCTTCCAGTCACTTACGGACTCATTGTTAAGACCGTGTTTATGGAAGACAATCTTACTTGCTACGAGGGATTGCCAAAGAAGCTTCTCATAAGAAGTTTCTGCCTGTAACTTCTGCAGAACCGCAGATCACAATGAGCGCATTTTTCGCAAAGGCAAATTGCGACCTTCACCCACCCGGGTGACTCTGTCCCATGCTCTGCCTGGAATGTGCAGGTCCAGCAGCTGCACCCACGACTTTCAGGGTCCTCTGGGCTTCTCCATTTCCCCCTCTGCTGGGAGGAAGGCGCACACAGAGAAATTCCAGGCAGAAATTTAGAGTCCCTCCCACATGGCTGCATGGGCTCTGCAGATCTGGGAGACACAAAAGGAGGCCTGTTTTCCTTCCGCTTGCCCAGCTTGGAGCAGAAAAGCAGCCGTTCGGCCCAGCGGCAAGAACTAGAGTAGCCTCCATAGCTGTTTTTGCAAAGGTGCTGCCTTCTCGGTGGTGGCGCCTGCCCTGTGGAACGCCCTCTGATCAGATGTCAAGGAAATAAACAAACATTTGACTTTTATAAGACATCTGAAGGCAGCCCTGTTTAAGGAAGAGCCAGTGTGGTGTAGTGGTTAAGAGCGGTAGTCACGTAATCTGAGGAACCGGGTTCGCGTCTCCGCTCCTCCACATGCAGCTGCTGGGTGACCTTGGGCCAGTCACACTTCTCTGAAGTCTCTCAGCCCCACTCACCTCACAGAGTGTTTGTGGTGGGGGAGGAAGGGAAAGGAGAATGTTAGCTGCTTTGAGACTCCTGAAGGGGAGTGAAAGGCGGGATACCAAATCCAAACTCTTCTTCTTCTTTAATGTTTGATGTTTTATCGTGTTTTTAATGTTCTGTTGGGAGTCGCCCAGAGTGGCTGGGGAAACCCAGCCAAATGATCAGGGTGTTTTTGTTTAGTCGTTTAGTCGTGTCCGACTCTTCGTGACCCCCTGGACCAGAGCACGCCAGGCACTCCTGTCTTCCACTGCCTCCTGCAGTTTGGTCAAACTCATGCTGGTAGCTTCGAGAACACTGTGCAACCATCTCATCCTCTGTCATCCCCTTCTCCTTGTGCCCTCCGTCTTTCCCAACATCAGGGTCTTTTCCGGTGAGTCTTCTCTTCTCATGAGGTGGCCAAAGTCTTGGAGCCTCAGCTTCAGGATCTGTCCTTCCAGTGAGCACTCAGGGCTGATTTCCTTCAGAATGGATCGGTTTGATCTTCTTGCAGTCCATGGGACTCTCAAGAGTCTCCTCCAGCACCAGAATTCAAAAGCATCCATTCTTCGGCGATGAGCCTTCTTTATGGTCCAGCTCTCACTTCCATACATCACTACTGGGAAAACCATAGCTTTTACTATACGGACCTTTGTTGGCAAGGTGATGTCTCTGCTTTTTAAGATGCTGTCTAGGTTTGTCATTGCTTTTCTCCCAAGAAGCAGGCGTCTTTTAATTTCGT